GATCACTCACCAAGCATAAATTGTTTAGTTGTTTGTAATTTCAAAATTAACATACTCTTAGTTGAAATCCATTTTGTAAAAGCTGAAGTTTCCCATGAGATCAGAGACGGATTTAGGGGAGCAAGTGCTCCTGCTTGCCTCCAATGCTCCCTACTTCTTTTTCAATTTTTTTAATTGTTTTACTAAAATTAGTAAAATTGATTCTGCTCCCCATGTTTTACGTTATTTAAAATTCTGCCCCCTTTCTGTCACGCAAGATCCGTTCCTGAATGAGATTACATTTAACAGCCAAGCGCACAATAAATGACGACGATCCATGTGTGACAATACTCCACGTTTTAGTTGGGGATATATAAAAGATCAAAAGTCGGATCATTATTTATGTTTGCACTTATTGCCTCGTTGATTTTTTAAAAAGGAAACCGCCATTGATACATTTATAAAAAGCATAAGGTGCACTCATAATCATGAACTTTTTTGAGAATAATTTTATTTCCTGTTTATAAGTGAGATAATTTTATTTTTAAATTATTTTTTGAGGAGTAAAAAAAAAAACATTGGATAGGGTGCCGACACTCTTTAAAAAAATAATTCAAGAATAAAATTATCCTATTCATCCATACAAGATAAAATTAATTTTTGAAAAAAAGTTCAAAAATAAAAATATATCTTTATCCTTATAAAATAGTGTCATACAAGTTTAGAATCTATAATCTATGATCTATATATAATATTAGGTAATCACGGTGGTATGGTTACTATAACCAATTAACCATATGACTTTTTTTTTTAAAAAATTATACCTTTTTATTTTTGATATTTTTTAAACTTTAAAAAAATTATTCATTCAATTCTTATAATTTTAACTTGATTATAATTTAGTATTTAAATTGTGATTTATTGTTACTCAATTTTTATAATTTTGATTTAGTTATAACTTAGTATATAAATTTTAACTCGATATAACTTAATAATTATTATTTTAGTTTTTTAAAATAATGGTTCATCTATTTCAAAAATTAAAATTATAAAGACTACAATTATTTTTAAATTTAGAGATTAATTTTTAAAATATTAAAATTAAAAGAATTAAGTTGTAGAAATTGAGTCACATTGAGTTAAAATTAAAAGATTAAATTATAATCGAGTTAAAATTATAAAAATTAAATGTTTAATTTTCTCTTAAATTTTTATATGAAATCTTTTAATTTTGATAAAGTATAGAAAATAAAAGTATAATATGAGACATGTAATAAAGAAATAGGTGTAGGATTTATAGCAAAAATTAGTAATAAACAAAAAATAACTTATGGTGAAAATTGTATGTGTGAAATCAGCAAAGAAATTATAAATTGGACTAAATTAATGCATATATTTTTTATTTAATATATTATTTACATTTTTATTAATTTTTTAATGAAAATCCTCTATGTCCAAAAATTACTTAGAAGTAGAGTAAATGAGTAAATTATTTTTTAAATTTTAAATTCATTAAAACTATAGATTTTGAATTTATTTATTATATAAATTATTTTTTTAACTTTTAAAAATAGTGTAATTTGGTCATTGTCATTAACAAAAATTAACATTCATCATTTTAGTTAGAAAATGCCATAAAAATCTAAAAAATTATAAAAATGCCAAAAAATTTATAAATCAAATATATTAGAATCTTTCTTGCTCTCTATTCCCTCATAATCAAATTATGAATTTATGCCTTGTGCATGTAGTTAATTTCATACTGAGGTCTTGTACTCCATCTCATTAAGCCAAGTTAAGATTCGAGAGAGAGGGCAACAATTTTACAGCAAAAGCTTGATGGTATGAAATGTTGGAATAAAATGATACTCCCTCAATTTTAAAATATAAGACATTTTTAATCAAATGTCATTTCTCAATAAAGTAGTTATTTATTTTTAAATTAATTATATCTTTTTATATTTACTTCTATTAAATACTTTATAATAAATATAAAGTCATTTATTAATAGAAAAAAAATTTTAAAAAAATAATAATTATACGTTAAAAAATTAAAAATATTTTATATTTTTAAATATTAATTTTTCAAAAAATATTTTATATTTTAAACGGTGGGAGAGTATGACTCTCTCTTTTTTCATTAGATTTAACAAATAGGAGAATCATATATTTAAAATAAACTTAGATCATCCAAAAATAACTGGAAAATTGTTTTCATTTTTCATCTAAACATATCACATATATTGGCCAAAAAAAATATCACTTCTGAATTAAATTAGATAATTTCTTTAGAGTAAAAGGTAATATGACAATCATTTTTTGCACGTGATAAGCAACATTACATTAATATTCTCACTGCACTATTAATTTTATTGCAAAATTAACTAGTTTCACGATTTTTAAAAAATGGTAGTTGATATTCTTAAATTTATAAAAAATATAGTTTTCTAATTTTATCTTTTATTGAGATTAATGACCACAATAAAATATATTTAGAAATTAGAAATTTCTCAACAATCTGGTGCAATCCAAGACAGACAATATTGAGAAAAATAATTACTTACTACACCTTTGCCCTATATTTAGAACCAAATAGAGTTTGAAATTAACACTTTGCTCTATGATTAGGACTTGAGGGAGAAAAATTTAAGATAATCAATACTCTTAAGAAAATGCTTAAGAGAAAAATATTACTCTCTCTGTCCTAATTTATAAGATATTTTTAAGAGAAATTTGAAATCTCAAAATATAAAACATTTTGATATAAATAATGTTTTATTAATAATACTTTTTCAATCTTACCTTTTTTTTATTATATTTTCTCTTTAAATACACTACAGTATTAAATAAAATGCATTTTTGAAAATTTATATTTTTTTGAAAAAATAAGAATGTAATGTGTATTAACAAGTTTCATTAGTATGTATGATTTTATCTAAAAATATCTTATAATTGGGAGTACTTTACAAAAAAATGAAAAATATAACTTTTAGTATCTGAACTTATTTTCATAATCAATTTTGTCCCTAAACTTTATTTTAGAATAACTCACTCTCTGTACTTTATTGATTCGGAATAATTTTGCTTTATAACTTTTTGATTCACTATAATTCAATCTTTATAGTTTCTTAATTCAATAAATTCTACAATGATTGAATTATATTGAATCAAAGTTCAATGACTAATTTGATAATTAAGAGAAAGTTTAGGAACTATAAATTATATTATTTATAAGAAAAATGGGTGAATATTAATGAAGGACCCTTAAAAAAAATTTAATATCCAACAAAAATTCTGATGAATTTAATACTTGTTAAAACAATAACTTTACTTATTAATTTGTAAATATTTACTTATTAAAAATTGTTGTCAAATATTAAATTCTTTTAGAGATGTTTAATTGTAATCACCAAAAAAAAAAAAAAAAACAATAGGAGGAGAGAAGCTGCAATTGGGATCCTATCACTAAAATGCATTCCTCTACGTCCAAAGCTACCCAATTTCCATGCCCCACGTTCTAACCCCCCCCCCCCCCCGCCCCAAATTATTTTTTTGGGTTGAATTCGTCACTTTGACAATAAAAATGGTTGATATATATCCTAGAAATTATTCTATGTTCACATATTCATTCATAATTTTAGAGAAAGTGACACAAATACAAGCGATTCGTAATTTTGTGCCCTATCATCTCAGGAGCCAGCTTCCCCTCCACTTAAAGAAGCCTCCTCTACCTGTTCACTAAAGCAGTGTTCAAATTTAATTTAGATAATACAGATTTAATATTTTTAATTTAAATTTTTAAAATAAATAAAAATTATATATTTTTTAATAAATTTACTATTTTATTTAGAATATATTTATATTGATCAGAATATATTTAAAAATTAAACCTTTACCTTAACGGAGAGATACATGAGGCTTTCCTCAGTCAAAAAATGCCGACCCCTCTTAAGGTTGTCTCTCAACCGTCGGGGCGCGGCAATACTTTCGCACGCTCTGTTTCTTTCTAAATATACTGGTTGCCTAGGAAGGGCATTATTTTATTTCTCTTCAACATAACATTGAAATGGAATGATTTAGCCTGATTATAAATAGCAAATTTATCATAAAATTTATATTTCATGATATTATTAATTGAATAATAACGAAAAAAATAAAAATGATAGATTTATTAATTTAAGATGAAAATGTTGTTATGATATGTATTTTTTTATTTGATCACCCAATATCCTAAAAAACTTTCATTTAGTAATAATAATCTCATGAGTAACTCGATGCTTTTCACAATTTTATTTAATAGGATCTATGGTTATATCTTTTTATTTTACAATTAAATATTAACGTTTATTATTTTTTTAGAAAATGATAATAAAATTTCTTTAAATTATATAAATCATAATTTGATTTATTAAAATGCCATAATATGAATAAAATTTTAGAGACTTCTTTATCAATAACTTGTTTTAAAAAAAATATTTTATCCTTACTAAAAATAACAATACTCAAATATAACTTTTGTTATGTAAATCGCAAGATTTAAATAAAAAATTATAACTTATCAAGTATAATTTCTATTATTGAAAAACAAGTCTCAATCACAACTTTTATTTAAGAAATAATAATTTTTTTTGTGAATTACAAGAATTAAACAAAAATTATAATTTACTAAATATAATTTTATAATTGAAAAATAATTTTCAAAATAATAAATTTTATTTACAGTTTTTATTTAAAAAATTATAATTTTTTTAAAAATTATAATAATTAAATAAAAAATTATAATTTATCAATAAAAATAAAATATTTTTTAAAAAAAAATTATTAACAAACGTGTATTTAATAATTTTATTAATATTATATATTTTAAGAGATTAAATTATTATTTATATTAATTTAAAATTTTTTTTTGTTATTCTCTCTCCCCCCCCCCTCTCTTTTAACTTTTCCATAAATGATTGGCATACTCAATCGTCAATTAGTCAATATAATGGTATAATACTCGAGGAAGGTAAAAACAGTTGAGGCAAGGGTGGATTTGGAATATGCACCTTGGAAGAAAGGGGCAAAAGCACAGAGAGGTTCCTTGACCTGTGAGAGAGAGAGAGAGAGAGGTCCCCTTCATATTCTGCGGTCCGCAACTGCCGATGGCAACTGTACAGCAGTCACCTACATCCTTCGCGAACCGCACTGAAACCCCATCCCCTTCCTTCTCTTCTCTCAACTTCCTATGAAATATTAACACCAGAAAGAATGGACAGCTTCACACTGCTTTAAACTTCCGAGATGCGTTTTCTTTTCAGCCAAGGTAGTCCAAATGGTTTCTAAACCAACATTTTTTTCTCATACCCATTTGCATGCTCATTATCTTTCGTTTTGTTGTTGTTGTGAGAGCTTTGTTGATTTTTTTTTTACCTCTAATATGTGCATGCATGACATGTATGTCGTTTTGAGCTCCTTGCGTCCTTCTTGGTTTCCACGATTATTAGATTGCTTAGTTTTCTACCTGATTCATGTCTGGTTTTCTTAATTTGCCTTTTTTCTGTCAGAGCTGAACTTTTCTCTCTCCTCTTCTCGAGATCTTACCCGGCTCTTTATCAGTTTATTTCTCAGAGAAAATACTCTAGCATATTGATTCTTCCTTTTTACTTCACGGGAGGTTTTCATTTTCCTTTCCGGATAAATCAGAAATGCTTTGGGATAAATTAGTAGGAATCTGTTTGATGATCGATCCACCAACAGCGTCATACGTGACTCCCGGACTTAAACTTGTCTGGGTTGATCTTCATATGGTATTGTCTGTAGTCTGCTGTCTGCATTATATGCTCCTTGAAAGCCTTTTTATCATGTAAACAATTTAAGGACGCGATGAATTATCGACTCGTTTCATTCCCTCTGAACTTTCTTTAAAGATTAATATTCTCAATTTCTTATCATTATCAGATTATCTCTTATTTGGCATTTTCTGTGTCATATGAGTTTGATTACAGACAAAGGTCTAGCTTAAGAGATCAAACTGGTGATCTAGCGGGTTCTTGCAGAACAAGTTGGATGCAGATAACCATTAGTGATCTGTGAATTCTGTAGGCAACAGAGGAACGATGCTAAGCCAGCTATGGTTTGTACTGCTAAAGATATACAGGAGTGGATAGATTTTCCAAAGGGACTTAGGGTTCTTCTCCTTGATGGAGACAGCAGTTCTGCTTCGGAGATAAGAACAAAGCTGCAGGCCATGGACTATATCGGTAATACTTTGTTGGCCTTGCCACTTTTCTCCATTCACTTTCAAAATGTTGATCCAGCAAATCTCACTCACTTTATTTATTGTTTAAAATTGGTCCCCGTTGTTATCTTTAATGGCATCTTGTAAAGCATCAATGATTTAGTGAGTGTCCCCAAAAGATTCTTTGGAAATTTGTGGTCTCGGAATTTAGTTAATTTGGAATTTGATAATTTTAAAGAGCAGCTCTGTTTTGCCCTTGTCCGTTGCTGAATGTTACTTACTATATATGGCATTTCTCAGATTGCTCATGAAGCTGCTAACTTTATCATTTGCATTTAAACTACACGCTTGCAAGTTCTTCTAAAACTCTATGTGGTCCAAATTTTGAAGAGAAAATAATTGCCAATTATCTGAATTGCGCGTTACTTACATTTATGCTATTTTTAATACATCCGTGGCCTTTCCGATCCGTGTGAATATGAATAGTTAGGTACAGAAGACAAGCATCTATTAAGGAAAGCAAGTATTGCAAGAATAACTATATTAAAATTATATTTTTTAAGAACCAACGTAATTAAAGCTTTGAATGTGTTTGAAATTCATATCAATCTTGCCATCTATTCCCTCAGTCCTTCAATTCTTGTTTACCATACATGCTCGTGCATTCTGTTGATTCCCTTAATAAGCCTCAGCATATCTTCACAGTTTCTACATTCTGTGATGAGAACGAAGCCTTATCAGCAATCTCCAGCAGACCTGATGGCTTCCACGTTGCCATAGTGGAGGTAATGGAATCTCATTTAATATATACAAGTCAAAGTACTATGTAGTAATTATAAGATTTGGACAGGAAGTGATAAAGTGGATGTTTTCTTGCATGTTCAAATGAAAATGTTTTGGAAGTTTCTGAGGAAGAATGGTTTCCTTGAATCTTGATTATAAATTACATGCTGCTGAACGTTAGGCTGTAACGCCAATCGATCACGTCATTTTATAAGGAAATCTGAAGAATGCTGTTTCTATCACGTAATGTATGTTATCCCAACAAGATCATAGCAATTATTAACATAATTAAGGTGCTCCCTTTATCCATTTTCTATATATCAATATTAGACTTGGTTTCTTTTGGATTGTGGTGTAACACAGACTTGATGGAATTTGTCACCGTATGCATCCTTCTAATTTCATTAGTCACTGCAGGTGAGTACCAGCAGCCTGGGAAGTTTCAAAATTCTTGAGTATGCTAAGGACTTGCCCACCATCAGTAAGTTAAAAAAAATGTAGTTCTGCAAGTTTTGCCTCTTGCATGCATGTTGTATTCGAAAAAGAAATACTTAGTCTGTTTTTCATGATGATTCTGTATGGGAATATGATGAAGGTTTACTTCAAAGGCTTTATTGTCATAAATCTTCTAACAATTGATGCTTGATGTTTGATGCAGTGACTTCAAACAATCACTGCTTAAGCACCATGATGAAATGCATAGCGGTAAGATTTTGGCTTAGCTGCCCTAATAGTTTGCGGCTTAATATCTGATTATTAATATTGCTCAATTTATTTATTTCACCTTATCTTCATGTTAATTCGTATTTCTGGTCGCTTATAGTTGACTATGTGACTGGTTAAGACATTTTCCTTTTAAAGCTTGGCGCAGTTGAGTTCCTAAGCAAACCACTCTCTGAGGAAAAACTCAGGAATATCTGGCAGCATGTTGTTCACAAGGTTTGTTAGTAGTGCCAGATTCTGTTGGCATTTACTACTACCGTGCTATGAGCATAAAAGGTTCTAATTTGGTTATATTAAGCAGGCATTCAACGCTGAGACAAGTGTCCTGCCTAAATCACAAGAGCCTGTCAAAGAATCTGTGGTATTGCAGCTCCAAACAGACAGCGGAGAGCATGGAAGTATAAATTTAGAGGAGTCTAGGTTCAGTGATGTTGAACATGAGCAGTCTGCAGGAAGTGACAAGTACCCAGCTCCTTCGACTCCTCAATTAAAACGGGGGGCAAGGTTAAGGGACGATGGAGATTGCCACGAACAAACTAATTGTTCAACCGAAAAAGAAAGTGAGGACCATGATGGGGAATCTAAATTTGTCGAAACTACATGCTGGGTTTTGAATGCTGAAGGTACTTGTCAACCTGTGAAACCTGAAAAGACTCAGAACATGGAGGATGAGAACCTGGCAAATGATTCTAAGAGTGAGAAAGCTGCTTCTCCACCTACACATGATGGTGTACTCAGCAACATTGAAGGTGATACTGTATCTCCAAATAAAGCAGGCGTTCATAGCAATTCCCGTCAGATCAGAACTAAGAAGAAGGTGAATTAAGTTGCTATATGACTATTAGTTCTTGTCATGTTTCCTAAACATTCCTTTTTACTCCGTTTGCAGAAACCTCATTAACACTGCTTTACCTACAAAAATCCCCTTAGCAAATTTGTTTATGCATTCAATGATTGTGATATGACACCCATAGCCAGAATATATCCCAAATTTTAGCCTATGAATCCCATCATATGCCCATGTTCATGAAGTGATTGAAGAAATTATATAATAGACTTGTCAAGCCTCAACTACTGTTTTAAAAATGTTTGGCGAGAAAATAATTCTGAATAGCATATATTGTTCTTGTTTGTTGCTTATGGCTTTCTTTTCTTTTGCATAAGATTGTCCATTTGTTGAAATTTTGCTTTCAAAAGCAACTTATCTGCTGGTTTTGATTGTCTGAACCGCTGGCTTTGGTTTCAGGTAGACTGGACACCTCAACTGCACAAAAAATTTGTGAAGGCAGTGGAACAATTAGGGGTTGATCAAGCAATTCCTTCTCGGATACTGGAGCTGATGAATGTGGAGGGCTTGACTAGGCATAATGTGGCAAGTCATCTTCAGGTCATCATCATTTAGCTTGCTGCTTATAGGCTTCTCGGTTTCTTTCTCAACATTGCTAGTAGGATGCTTATTTCAACACTTCATCCAGTTGTTTTAAAAAGCCATATGCACGTATCCTCTTAGATAAGTATGAAACAATAACAATTGTTTGTCATGCAGAAATATAGAATGCAAAGGAGGCGAATCTTGCCAAAGGAAGATCGAAGATGGGTACAAAGACCAGTTGTGGCTTTCTCTCCATATTATTCTAACTGCACCCTGTCACCAGCTCCTGCGTATCCTATCTGGGGACAATCTGGCAGTCAACCAGCCAGTATGCATATTTGGGGCCCACCTGGTTATCCCCCGTGGCAGCCTACTGAAAGTTGGCACTGGAAGCCATATCATCAGGTGATCATCCTCTTTGGCATTTGACCCGGAGCAGGATATATTTTTGGCCCTTTATTTCATCGACCTTGATTCATAGCCTTCACTGCATAATTCTGAAAGCAATTTAATGAGTAAAAAATTACTTGATGTTTCAGATACATGCAGAGGCATGGGGTTGCCCAGTGTTGCCACCTCCTCAAAGTCCTTGTATTTCATACTCTCAAGTAAGTGTTAATAAAGTAAAGATCTTGAGTGTCATGCTGTGCGTAAATTGCTGGTTACTAAGTATTTTATTTACAGCGTTTCTAATTATATATATTGTTTTTTCATCAAACTGCAGAATGCACCTGGATGGCACAATGCTAATGCAGCTAACTATAGCTCTAGCAAGTCTCAAAATTCCTGTGAATATCATCCAGTAATGCAATACTTTCCTCTTAAATTTGTGCTGCTAGATCTTAGAGATAGTAGGAGCTAGGAAGTTACATCCTAAAATTATATTAGCTTATGGCTTATGCAGATCAAATGGTTATAAACTAAAATTTGCAATGTACAGAGAGCAGGGCACCTAAGCAATATGTTCTGCTTGTAGTGTGTGATGTGAGAGTATTGATTAAATCTTGGATAGAATATTCTAAAAAAGGCTTTAGATTAGTCAAGGTCTTTTATTATTGTGCTGAAGAAATCAATAGAATAACAAAGTGACCTCCATGGGTATCATCGATACCCAGAAGTGATGGAAAATACCAGAAATTTGTTGTATTGGAGTTGATATCTCTCTCTTGATTTTGTATATAGGGAAACTAATGGGGAAGCATATTCTCTAGCTAGATTAGATCAGGATATAGATTCTGATTTTTATTCCTTTGATCATAATCCATCTAGGGATTTTGAAGTGAGTTATGATGGAAGCTAATCTTGCTTGCTTTTTGGCATTCTTGGTCTTTTGTGATTGAATGAAAGGCTAACTTTTATTGAAAAAAAGAAAGAAAGAATATGCCTAAACTTCGGAGATTAAAGTGTAATTCCATGCAGCTCAACTTTTCAATGCACTTGAGTATTTTGCCCATTAGAGTTGCTTTGAAATTCTTAATAATAAAAATGTGAGAATCTCAAAGGAAATCAAATGGGCAAACAGTCTTCATTGACTTGCACTGTATGTTTGTTTACTAATGCACATGTACTAGATGCTTTGAAGTCCAAAATTGCCATGAAATTTTCCAATTTGGATCCTTTGCATTAGGATGTAATGCTGTAGTAGATAGATTGATGCAGAGAAATGGAAGTATAAAGAGCTCATGTCATTTCTTTATATACATTCAGTTTTTCTCTCTCCAAGTCTCACAACACTATAGAGGATTTGAACTTAGAATTTTCCTAACACTTCCATGGTGCATGCATGCAGGCGGATGATATTGTCGACAAGGTGGTGAAGGAGGCAATTAGCAAGCCATGGCTACCAATGCCTTTAGGCCTCAAACCTCCTTCCATTGATTGTGTGTTGGCTGAACTCTCTAGGCAAGGCATTTCCACCATCCCTCCTTGTTCCAAGCATGCTACACTGGAACCAGAACTGAAACCCCAGTGACGTCCTCTGGGCGACCACACGTATCCTACGATCGATTAGTGCCCTTATGATCAACTACGTAGCAACTTGCTGGTACATGCCAATCAGACCAACGCTCTGATATAATTTATTTTTTGAGTAAACTTTATTTTGGTGTCTATAAACAGGTGCACTTTTAATTTTGCCATTCATAGGTCATTTCTTCTAATATAATCTCTCAATTGTTAGTTTATGACCATGTTTTCAATGTCATATCCTCTAGGTTTTTTTCTATCCATTTATGCCAAACCTAACAGATTGCGTGCTTTGGGTCAAAGTACCAAACTAGCTTTAAATGTTCGAGGCGACCATCTCTTTTGGTTTGGCATTAATTTTTAGATAAAAATAACAGATGATGACATTGAAAGCATTGAAATGATTGAGGGATTAAACAATGACTTATGGAGAACTAAATTGAAATTGCAAGTGCCCATCAGTGATCAAGATAAGGTTTTCCTCTTGTTCTTTTCACCCCCAAAATCCATCAGAATTCACCTAGCAGATTAGCTGGAAATTTTGGACCATCTTTACACCACCGACCACTCATTGATGTCCACAGCACTTTTGGTGCAAGTGCAGGACAGCCAGTAGGCGACATGGTTGGGTGGGTAGTGGCCGTGTAATAAATGATGATACTTTGTGCTAACTTTTCTGGTTGTGAAGAGATAGATATATAGATAGACAGATGCTGCTGCATCAAACTCTTAAAGATGCTCTGGTCGGGTTTGTGGGTTGTAAATACCCAACTTTTTTGGGGCATAAAGTCTATTCTGATTACTGTAATGGATCCCTTTTTGGAGTTGTTGGCTGGTGGGGCCTTTTGCAGACTTTAAATAATGGAATTTGAAACCATAATGTTGCTATGTGTAGTTTTCTTTGTGAATTAATACAGGCGAGTCTACTCTCTCAACTGTGAATGCCAAACTTGTTCTTAATGAATTGATTTTGCTATTAATATCCCTAGTGACTTTCTTGGGGATGCTTGATGAGAATAGTTGAGTGCTAGATGCCAGACTTGTATGCATCTTAGGATGACTTTTTTGAAAGAAAATTTTACCTCATTGTTTACATATTTGATAGGCTGGCTTCTTCGTTTAATTTCTTGAAAATAAGAGATGATAAAGATCAAGTTACTCTCTCGAATCTTTAAAATCTTAAATAATATAGCTTTTATCATAATATCATAATATGTACAAATTTTCAAATTAAAATCTGGTCAAATTTTAAGAATAATATTTATTCAATGTAACAATAAAATATGCTGAACTTTTATTTTAACATCAAGTATACATAAATCTAACTACGTTTGCACAATACTAATAATTTTAAAATTTTTATTTAAAAAGGTTATCAATTTTTTAAATAAACAGAAAAAAATAATTTAAGGAGAGTATAGTTCACTCAAGGATCGTAGAGCTAAGTGCATCAGTTCTCGAAAAGTGACTTTTAAGATAGTATGGTTTGTCTTATCAATGTCAAATATATTGGTTGTAGGATATGCATTTCAATTACACACGCACTCTTCTGGATGCGATTAAAAATTGTGTTCCTCATATATTTTAAAGATGTGTGAGGAATCTAATAGCTTTAATGTTATGCTGAAAATAAGCTGTTACTTGAGGCAAAACCTTTCATTAGATACTTATAACATGTGATGGATAACATCGTTGATGTAAGTTGTTTTTTTTTTTTGGCAAGAATACATTGATGTATTTTGATTATTAGTTTTGTTACACCAATGTGTGATCGAAAGCTTTTCCCCTCAAACCAATTATAGAAAAAGTTAAATATATCACACACACAGACACACACACACACACACACAATCATATCATATTGCAATATCCATTGCGGACTTTACTCCCAAAGTTAACACCATAACAAACTGTATTGATCACCCATTCTATTGCTCTTGCAATTGTTGTACGGCTTTTTGTTGCCGAAGCCTTGTGTAATTTTCTTTGAGTAATGATATTTCCCATTTGACTTTTCATTCAAAAAAAAAAAAAAATCATATCATACTACAACCATGTGGGTTGTTGCATAATAATCCGCCCCCAAGGCAGGGAAAAAGGCCCGAAAAAGATGCTTACATAGGCCCAACTATGTGGCCCAAATTTCTTGTAAGAAGGAAAAGGTCAAGAAGGAGTACATCTGTTTTAGTTTATTTCATTAAAATAATTCTATTTTATAAATTTTTATGATATTTGTTTAAAATTTTAAAAATAATTAGGATTTGAAAAAAAAATTCTGATTATTTTAAGAATTAAAAATAATTTAATGTGATAGATAAAAGAGAGTGTTTTTAAGAAACAAGATACGTGAAAATATCATAAAATTTTAAAAAACATATAATTATAAATTATTTTTATAAAACAAAAATCAAGAAAAATATGATAAAAATTAAAAATAATTAACTAATAATTATTTTTTATTATTGTAATTGAACATAAAATAATATCTTCTTTTTATAAAATCCTTGCAAAATTAATTTTTTTATAAAATTTTTAAATTATCTAAAATTATTTCTTTTTTAATATTAAACAAATAGGTTTATAATAGGATATATTTTTTTCAAAGAGAAAACGAACCCAATAAAGACAATTGGGTCAAATCTAATGAAATGAGCTAATCTCTTATAAAATAATGAATCAAGATTTAAATTTTTATTAAAAGAGATGTTTAAGTCTAATACTCAACCGTGATTTAAACAAGATTATTTATGATAAAAGAATATGGGTTTAAAAAAAACTCAGTGAAAGACTATCTTTGTTTACCGAAAAAAAGGAAGGAGTGTTTTAAAATAAATCTTAGAAAAAACTGCTCCCGCGAGTTCCCACCTAATCTGCGGTCTTGGACAGGTAGCTGTTGCAGTTGAAGGTCGGTTATAAATGAGAGGCTTCCAACAGTGAAAGCGATGCACGTTTCCCGCCAAATATCATTAAGAGGGATCTATCTATCATTCCTAATTTTTTTTCCCCAACTACCATGCCCCATTTATCTCCCTCTGAATGGGCTTTCTTTTCTTTTCTTTCATTTTTTTTTTGGTATTTTACAATAACTCCACGAATTTTCTTCAAACTCCTATTGCATTTTTGGTTGCAAGGAAATGGGATGTTCAAGATGGGTGAGGTCAAAGTATAAGCCAGGTATGATTGAGACCATAAGGTGGAGGATGGAATAGACATTAATGAAATGGAACTGAGGAGAGTGCGACAAAATAAAACATAATAGAACATCATATTGTTTGAGAATTTTATTTGAAAAATAACAATTTTATTTAATTATTATTTACTCCTTCCGTTTAAAAATATAAGGCATTTTTAACCGAATCTCACTCCAATAGAGTAATTATTTAGTTTTCAACTAACCCTATCTTTTCATATTTACTCTTATTAAATATCCTACAATAAATATAAAGTCATTATCAATAGGGGTACTTTAAAAAAAGTAATGATTACCCTTTAAAAGATTAAAAATGTCTTACATTTTTTAACGGAGGGAATAAGAATTATCATAAATTTAATATATTAAAATTAATAACAATTATTTTTTTTGGTTCTAGAGTGAGATGAAGTAGTGGGAGGGGGTGAAGATGATGAGTGTAATTTTATAATAAAATTATTTAGAAAAAATAACTAATTCAATTAACTTTGACTTGCTGCAACTCAGTTATTATAATTTTAATTAGATTGTAATTTAATTCTTGAACTTTAATTATTGTAATTTAATCACTATAATTTTAACTATTTAAAATACCAGTCCTTATAAAGTTATCTTAAAAGTTAGGATTAAGATTTTAAATTAATAAACCCTTTTAATCTTTAAAAAGATTATAAGAATTAAAATTTTAAAATATTTTTAATTTTTAAAATTTTATTTATTAAAATATAGATACTAATATTGTAAATGTTTAAAATTATAATAATTGAGTTATAAGAGTTAAAGTTCAGAAATTAAATTATAATTGAGTTAAAACTATAAAGATTTAGTTACAACAATAAAATTTATAGATTGAATTACAATTAAATAAAAATTATAAGAATTATATAATTAATTTTTTCAATTATTTATATTAAATCATTCGATTATCAATCCTCAAATTGGGAGAAAAAAATAAGTTTAGGATGGTTGAAATTATTTTGAAAACCCATCTCAAACCATTCCATTTCTTTTAAAAAATTCTTTTAAATACGGTTATAAAATTTTTAGCTACCATATCCCTTGCCAAAAAACTTCCATGCACTGTGCACAATTCAAAGTCTCCCTCGGTCCCTCCAATAATAGCATTTCGTTTTCGAATTATTAGTTTCAATTTCAATTTGTTTTAAATAAAGGAATGGATAGAACTGAATCTTACCAAACCTATGTGAGTATATTCGTAAGAGACCAAATCAAAACTCAAAAACTGTCATCACTTCGTTGGCTGTATATATACATACTCCTACATATAAATAAATAAATTATATATACAAAGGCGATTGGTTGGCTGAAGAAAAAATATACGTATGTATATGTGTACGCCTTTTTTTTTTGCTAATATATTATTATTATATACAAAAGGATCAGTTACCCATTGAGCGCCGATATACTGTGTAATTGGGGATGAGTATTGGCCCACAGCTTTCTTGGGGGTGCAATGCATTTTCTTTTGAATTTACGGAATTGACCCTGGGTTCTCGAAACTGAAGAAGCAAGCGGGTCTCATCATTTCGCCTTTTCATTTTCTTTACCCCTCTCTCCTCCCTATCGGTGATAGTGTGATTTCTCTCAAAAAGAAAGGAACCTCGCAAGTCGTATTCGATATCGTTAGAGATCATCAATCGTTCCTGTAAGTTCTTATAGCTTCTATCTGTGTCCAATCCCTCGTTGACGCATTCAATTTCGTTTCAACCATTGAAACTTAGCTTTGTCCTCAAAATTTTACTTTCTACTGGTCAGTTGATCTATCTATGTTACTTGAATTAATCATCTAAATTATCTGAAGCATTTTCTGAGATGGAGTAAGTTGAAAAATTCTGGTCAATTGCCATCGAAGCGATTTATTTATTTATTTATATTTTCGCGCTGGGAGTTTATGGGAGAGAGAATATTTATGGACAATTTGCTTTGTTATTAATCATGGCATTCAATATTGGATATCTTTTCCATCCTTTTGATTCCTTTAAAATTATTAAGACAAAATAAGATTAAGGATTTCATTTGTTTTCATTTATATATGTTCGAAATGTTTCCTTTTGAAATTCCGGAGGTTAAATTAACATGTGAATTCGACGATGAAGTTGCTATTCCTATCAGCCATTTTAGGAAGGTGCAAGGAGTATATGTTCGTATGTGTTACATTTCAATCGGAGTTATGGGACTCATTGTTGTTTTAAGAAATTTCGGGCTTCTGCAGAAAATATCGGAAACTTTTCGAACATTGGCCTCCAGTTTGAATTTTGATCGAGTTATTAATTTGAAGTGCAAGTAGTTGGTAGAGGATGGCGTGTAGGGGCTTCTGGGCGTGCCTTTTGAAGCTTCTGAACTTACTAATGACCCTTGCTGGTCTGGCCATGGTGGGCTATGGAATATATCTACTGGTTGAATATGAAAGAGCTGCAGATGAAACTGCTGTTTCTCCTTCCAGTTATGATCAAACTGTAATTCAATTTGGGCGACCTATCCTTACTGCTGTGTCGCTATCAGATAGTATTAACTTGCCCAAGGCTTGGTATGAATGCTTGCACTTTTTCCTGGTTTTTTACAAGGTTTAGTAAATGAGTAGTTGTTCCTTCTTGCAAACTATCGTAAACTTGACAAAGTTAATGTTTTGAACATATTTTTCTGCATTAGTTGGCCGCAATATCCAGTAAAATCAGTTAATGGAGATGAAAATTATTATATATTTATTTATTCTGGGTCAATTTTCTTCTATTGTTGCAAGTCGTAACTATGAAAAGTTAAAATCATAGTTGATTGAGGAGCACTGCTTCTCACTTCTTTTAGAACATTTTTTGGTAACTTGCAATGGAGATTCTCTGCCAGGAGTGTATGAGTTTTAGCAATCAGTATCTTCAATTAGCTTTTGGGACATGGCCTATATGTTGTGCATTTTCTTCCATGTTCTTGTTGGTCAAGTTTAGATTACAGCTGTCAAGCTTACCTAGCTTGGCCTTTGGGGCCATTCATCTTGTACTAAAACTAATTAAGGGGGATGAACCTTTTTCTTTTTTTTTTTTGGAGGTAAATAGATCTTGCGCTGAATACAAGTCTTTTTTGCTTTTCTGGTGGCAAAAAAAAAAAAAAAGTTTAGATCACAGCTGCAAAGTGAACTTTTACCATGTGATTAATTGATTGAGTTATGCAATAATTGAAGGTTCAAAAGTTAAGATTACGGCTGAGCATGGATTATTATTTGTTGTAATTGATGCACTAATGGCTCTTCTTTCTCTTTCCTATAAAGCATATCATGTTTAACTAATTTTCTTTGTTCATTTTATAATATGTTAAGCATTATGAAATTTTGAACTAACCATTATTTCTTCCACATGTCAGTTTCTGGGCAACTAATTACATCTATGAATTTCTGTAAGATGATAGAATCACCAGTAACAAGCCAGGTGTATCATGTTCATGTCATTATTGTGCAATATGATGGACCTGTGTGGCTTTATCCTTTTTTTGGTCTGTTTTTTCTTTTTTCTTTTTTTAATTCATGACTGAACTTCTACATTTATGTCATCAACTTCTATATTTTGCTTCTTCTATATGCATTTCGTTTCACTCACAACACTAAAATTGTTGTTTCACGCTCATACTTGCAATGCTTACCAAATTCTGATAGTTTTATAATGTCAAGTTAGTGAGGTCAGTCCATGTTGTCTTAATCTGTATGATAGTGATACTAATTGTGTAATTTGTGTTTGGCAGGTTTATTTACTTATTCATTGGTATTGGAGTAATTCTCTTTGTCATTTCTTGTTGTGGTTGTATTGGAATTGCGATGAGGAATGGATGCTGTCTTTGTTGTGTATCCTTGTAGAATGTCTTACGGAATTATGCTATGCCAGAAGTATTTAATTGTTGAATATTAATCTGCCCATACATGAATGGGTTGAAAGGTTCTGTTTTCATTTTCTTGCTTTACTTTGGTGTGCATGTGCATGTATATATCTCACGAGCATTATAAATAGTTTCCTTAACCAACAAAGTACTCAATTTTGGTGGTATTGCTGATCCTGGTGGAGCTTGGTTGTGCTGCCTTTATATACTTTGATAAAAGCTGGGAAAAAGTAAGTCGTGTATTATCATTTATGATCTGAAATTTAAGATGATATGGTTGTCATCTTATTGTTATGTACCTTTCAGGAAATTCCAGCTGACAAAACTGGAGATTTTGAAATGATATACAAATTCCTGAAGGAGAACTGGAATATTGTGAAATGGGTTGCTCTTGGGATTGTAATCTTTGAGGTAAGTAAGAAGTGGTGTGTAAGGGTATTCAACTTGTATCTATCCCGATTTGCTCGGTTCCATCCTGGTCATATCGAGACGGGTCTTGTTTTAGCCCGAAAACAATTAGGATGGTACTTTGTGGGACAGGACATGTGATTGCTCTTAGGACGTCTTGTCCCGTCCCGTCCTGTCTTGAATAATATATATTATTTTTTATTTTAAAAATATATATTAAATATATTAATTATATCAATTACAATTTCAATACGTGCAATTCTTATTTAAAATTTAAGGTTTTTTATATTGATAACTTTAATCACACAGAGTAAGCAGTACAAGGTAATATCTTTCTTTATAATATATTCATTATATTAATACAATTTATTCTTATATCTATCTATTTAATAATTTTTGTTTATATTGTATTTCTTACTTTATTTTCTCAAGAGTACTTAGCATATCTCAACTAAAGAAGAAGAACGATGACTTGATGTTATGCCTAGCTTGTCTGTTTTGTTGCTCTTATAACCTAGAGATCACTTATAATTGCTATCATAATGAGTTATACACTTGTAATTGTGATTGATGTAATTCAATAATTGACTTTAAATTGTTGCGGTTTATGTATTTGTGTTGTTTTAATTTTAAACTTAATAAATTACATGATTTAAAATGTTAATGAATGTTATTATTCAAACCTTTCTCCCACATTATCTGATTTATTGGGATGGCGGGACGTCGTGATCTCGTCTTGATTTCTAATGAGACGAGACGACTTTTAAGATGAGACAGAACATGAGATAAAAATTCAGTCCCAATCTTTTTTCGGGATGGGTGTCCCAATCCCGTCCTGTCCCGTAAACACCCCTAGTGGTATGATTTGCTTATGGAAGTAAGGAATTTTATTTTGCTGGCATAAATGTCTTTCTTTGCAGTCACTCATGCGTCCACTGAGAAGAGATGCACAGATTTACCCCCCCATACTATTAATTTCACGAAACATATTAAGAAGTTATATCTTCAAGCTTTGGATTACATTCATTAAGGATTGAAAATGTTTGAACCTGTGATGTGGAATTCAACCATTTTTTCTTTTTGCTTGGTGGATATCTAAAATAGCAAGGAGATGAGTGAAATGAACTGATAACTACCAGAATTCTACCAAATAATTTTATGTAACTAGATGATGCACAAATTTGAGAAATGAGTGATACTGTTTTGTGTTAATGACTTATGAATAATGTGGTTTGTTTGAATAATATCTTATATTAGAGTTTCTATGTTTTATATTGACGAGGTTGCTATTTCTTGTATTTAAGCATGATCTCTGGAGTCTGGATGTCATAGAAAATGGGAAAGAAAGTAGAAGAGAGATGGAGAAGTAGAAAGAATTGGGAAAGAATAAGGAAGAACAGAAGAGATAGAGAGAACCAGAGAGAGAGAGAGAGAGAGAGACTGGAGAGATACATTCTAATCAATAGACTTCCATTATGTCAATAGGCTATTTACAAATGAGGAGACACTGTGAGGTGCTCAAAAAAATAACAAAAGGAAATAAGAGAAACAAATCTGTTAAGATGATATGAAACAAAAATCTTATTCTATACTTTTCTCAGCAGTTATGCTTAGGACAATCTACAAAGGCTTGAAAGACTAGTTTTTTATTTGATGATATGCTAGCTTCTAAGTTGCTAGTCATACTTATAAAGCCAAATACAATAAAAAATACTAAATGAAATCTAGACAATTAGATAATTAAATAAAAATTGAATAGAATATCTTAGAATCTATATCTGAATAAAATACTGAATAAAATCTAAATAAAGTCTAAAAAACTAAATATCTAAATAAAATCTCCTGAAATCTATCCTAAAATATTCCCAAATCAAATAATAAAATCAAGCTTAATTTATCTTCTGATGCTTCTTTCTTGGATAAGTCTTTAATGGAATCCTATCTGGAATCTTATTAGGCATCTTAATATTTATAGGATTCCAGGAAGCATTAGGTAACATCATTAAAAGTCAATTAAACAACCTAACTATCCTCAACGACTAATGACTATCTAAATGGCATGTGCTTTTGTTATTTTCATATCAAACCCCTCTCCTAAGAGACCTTTGCCCTCAAAGGTTATGTTCAGCAATTTGAGGTTTTTTTTCAACAGAAATATTGAAAAGAGAGCATTAAACGCCAGGAAGCTACTGTCCACTGTCACTGTTCATTGGTCACTGTTGTTGCTGAATAAATGCAAACAATCAGCACGATACTTGAGCCCAAAAGCATGTTGAGTACTTGAGCAATCTTTCTCTATGTTGTAGGAGAACAAATAAATGGGTAGGGAATAACTGAATAAATAAAGCCCACTGAAAATACCACACCATAGGCATCCTTTCTACCGAGACTAATTTGTAATGTTCGCCCCACAATTTATTGATCCAATGCCAACCATTTCTGGGCTCACCACCATGCCATTTAGCTTCCTCAAGTGGGGCTGAAGTAACCAGACCCATGAAGGTGACTATGCTCACACCTTTTTCTGAATCAACACTGAGAGTTGTTTCTATCAACTTTTCCATTTTAATTTTTAGCATCTGCACCAGCTATTCCCTTGACTTTTCAATCTGAATAGTATAATCCCACCAGAAATAAACTTCTATTCCAAAAATGCCCTCGCTTGCCACCTACATAACAGATTTAATTTTGACTTTTCAGCCTGAACACCCAGCTATTTGAAGCCAAAGAAAAAATTTTTGTTTGAAAGTTGTCTCATCTTGCCACGCAACCCATACACATTTCTTCACTGCAATATGGCTACAAGTCTCGACTTGTGAGGCCTTACGGACCCAAGAAATAGCATTAGACAGCAACAAGGATGATGGAGGAGAGACACATGGTGACCGACGAACAAAACCCAAAAGTGAAGAAGAAACAAAACTCAACCATGAAGAAGCTGAGACATAAAATGATGGTGAAACCAGAGATGATGTTGGCAACAAGAAAGAACCAGCAAATCATGATTTTAGCTAGGAAACAGGGTTTGACAGTGTCGGAAGAATAACAGAAGGTGACAATGCTAAAGAACCCTGCGATGAGAAAATAGAGAGGGTAATGGTGGCTTTGTGAGTTGACCAAGCTGCGCTTGTGAATAGCTCTAGGTCCCAGAATGTAAGCCAGGACAGATGGGATTGGCAACCCCTACTGCTAAAGAGTTTGAGAGATTACTCGAGCCTATTCCATCTTTGAATTTACACAAAGAAGCTATCTTGAAATCCTGGGCTCGCCGTTCTTGCACTTCCACACACACTTCTTATGATGATGGCAAGGAAAACCCACAATCTTTAGGTGCAGCAAATAATTCTTGCTCATCAATGAACTCGTTTGGGCATGGTGGGAAGGGAACTGGACCAAACCCATCTTCTTCAACAGAATCAATTGGGGCATCGTCCAAGAATGATTCTTGCCTCAACAGTTTTCTTAAGTTTGCCACATCTTCCCTCACAGAACTCAACTTTCTAAGCTCTACAGCTATATTTTTAAGCTCCATTGCTATATGAGAAAGTTGTTTCATATTCATGATGCTGAGAATAACCTGGCTCTGGATACAATGTTATTATAGAAAATAGGAAAGAAAGTAAAAGAGAGATAGAGAAGTAGAACATAATTGGGAAAGAATGAGGAAGAACAGAGGAGATAGAGAGAACCAGAGAGAGCGAGAGAGTAGAGGCAGATTCTGATCAATAGACATCCATTATGGCGGTAGGCTATTTACAAATGAGGAGGCACCCTTATATTTATAGGATTCCAGGAAATGCTAAGTAAAATCATTAAGAGTCAGTTAAACAACCTAACTACCCTCATCAACTAATAACTAACTAAATGGCATTGCTTTTATTATTTTTGTATCACTGGACAAGCAGCCAATTTTTTTAACTTGATTAACAAGGGAAAACTTATTGCTCACAGTAACATCATCCCTCAGGGTCCTTACCCTTGGACTGAGAAAATGCAGTTTTGGTTTTCAGTTGATTTGATGTTAACGTGGAAAGAAAAAGCTGGAAGAGAGAAGGCAAGAGAGAATAGAGTGCAGATGGAGCTTAATAAGAATATTTTGGTAGCTTGGCATACCAACTTTGAAATTAAAAAACTTATGACTAACTTAAAGATATGAAGGAGCTTTTTAATTTTCCATTGATTTGTATGATATGTATAAAGGCTTTTGATGCCAATAAGAAAATCATTTTAAGAGAATTGTAAAACATTGGCATATCTTAATTATTTTGACCGTTGAGGCTTTCCAATTAAGGGATTTGTTTCCTTATCATCTTCACCATCACACTGTTGAGACTTGACCGTTGAAGCTTCAATCTTGCCATTAAAATGATTTGCAATCTTGCCGTTATAGTGATTTGCAATCTGTCTCTTATCTACAGTATCTGTTGGTCTAATGTGGCATATATGTTTGTTGCTGTGATACATTTCTGTCTGTTCAAGACCTTTAATTGGTGAAATTTTTATGACATACTTTGTAAAAACTATCTCGCAATTACAGGCCCTTATTTTCTTGATAGCCCTTATTGTTAGGGCCTCAAATAGGCCAGCAGATTATGACAGTGATGATGAGTTCATTAATCCAAGGCACCAAATCCGGCAGCCATTGATAAACAGACCAGCAGGCCCAGCAACAGGTGCACCAGTTCCCAGTGCGATTGACCAGCGCCCTGGCAGGAATGATGCATGGAGTACTAGGATGAGGGAAAAGGTGCAATCTCTTTTGTCTGCAGTTCACTTTAATCTTTAGTTTATAAACTATCTTTGTGGGACTGCTTAAACTGTCTGTCTTGACTCTATAAGAGATGCCTTTATGATCCCATGGTCATTGAAGGACGATTGAGATATGAGTTTTGCGCAGGATGTTTATGGTAAAGACTTTAGAATAGTAGGAGAATCTATTAAGTTAACTAGAGCAAGAATCTCACCCTAAAGAACTCAATAGCCAAAGTCGGAGAATCTCCAGAGGAAAATATGATTTATTTCTCAACGATATCCCCCTGGCATAGCAACTGGGGTATTTATAAACTGAAGCAACAACTGAATAACTCGAAATAATTGCCTAGAAGTCTGGACTAATAGATACTAACAGAATTGCACGGTAGACCTCACTACCTCACTAACAGAGTTGAGGTCTCCTATTATTCAGCAACTAACAACGAAATAATCCGACAAGTAATTAATTTAAATTAGCTATATACCTAATAATCTGCATAAAAGCATCGGTTTCACTTATCTTCCTTCTCTTTTTTCTTTGACAAGTGATTAGAGGTTTGTTATGCTGACCTGGATCCTTATCAGTTTAGATTTTCATTATTTGTGCATCCAAATATTTTTCTTTTAGTAGGATTTTCCTTGTGCCATCTGTTATATTTGAACCGTTCATCATTGTCCCAGTATTGCAATTTCCACTATATATAGCTCTGGTTTTTTTTTTTTTTAATACTGTTGAAATGGCTTTTCTTAGAGGATTTTTTTGTGAAGATTTCATGAGCTATTGTGAAATTCTCGTATACAATCTGTTGAGTTGATCTTTTCATGAATTGTTGGAACTCTATCGGAGAAGTTGGAAGATGCTTTTTGCATTGACATTTTCACATTCTAGTTGCTCAGAGTACTGCAATGTCACTGTTCTGCGGTGTCATGCAAGGCTTGCCTTGACATTTCCTTATGCTTAGCTCCGTTATATACATCTTGTACTTTTTGCACCTTGTCTGATCAGTGTGTTCAGCTATAATCAGAAAATATGCATGTATCTCTATTGCTTTTTGTTTGTGATGTTGTTTTTACATCTGACTGATACTGTTCTTCATCCAGTATGGGCTAGATACTTCAGAATTCACATACAACCCATCTGAGTCACATAGGCTCCAGCAAGGAAACTCTCAGCCAACTGAAGAAAGGAAACGCTGCACCATAATGTAATCACTTTGTGGATTGCTGTCCAAAGCCATATTAGGTTGACTTCCAAGGATTGTTTTTATGGGCAATGGCATTGAGACTAGAAGTTTGTCAGAAAAGTAGTCTTGTTGAGTTTGTGTACAACTCGCATTTTTCTTTCTGCATCTTTTCTTGTTATATCACATGGCAGCAGCAGCTCCATTTTGTTGTGTAATATCCGTAATGACATTGTGGCATTGTTTGTGTAGTTTTGGGTAGTGATGTGCTCTCTAAGGTGCATAGGCCTCATTTTCCTCCTTCGTCTTCTTTCTATTCTTCTCTTTTCTTTGTTTTTTTTTTTTAAATTAATTGTCTAGTCTTATTGGAGTCCTTCACATTTTTTTTTTTAATTGAGAGGTCAAACAGACCTGAGAATGCCAAAGTTTAGCAGGTTACAAATTATTTATCAGCCCAAAGATAGGCCAGGCAACCAACAGCAGGTTCATTCAAAATGCACAAGTCAAAGGTCCCATTACGGGCATCTCTAGCCAGAAAATTAGCCACCTGTGAGGTCTCATGATTAGAATAAGATGTTTCTATATCCCAATATGAGACAATCAGCTTAGAATAAGATGTTTCTATATCCCAATGTAAGACAATCAGCTTTTGTATCTCTATAATGTCAGGCCTCAAAGGATGATTAAGATCCCCACCTGTTTGGAGCAAGTGAATAGCTTCCAATGAGTCAGAATGACATGTAGTTTTATCCATATGATATTGCCTACGAAGCTGAAGACAAGTAAAAAGTTCTGCTACAATGGAAGGGGTAAAAATCCCAATTTGTTTTGGAATCCCAAAATCCAATTACCTTGAGAATACCTACCACATGTTGCATGCCCTTGATAGTCCACCGAACCATCCGCATTCAGTCGAAGGTAGTCCTCAAGAGGTGGGCTCCTTCTGTCTTCCAGTCTATCTATACTCTTGAAAATCTTGTGCTTCAGTCTTCCATTTCCCACTGATTCAGCAAGTTGCAATTTAGCACTATGTACAATATTAACAGCTTCAAGATGATTCCCTTCCCGTGTACCTTTGCATCTATTTTTTCATGGAAGCCAACAAATGGTCCAAAAGGTGTAGCCAAACCTGTTTGTTATTTGTTTCAAAACCGAAGTTGTTATTGAGCATTTCTCCTTAGCCATACTGCAAGTGATAGTGTATGAATAGTTGTTTTCTCACTATTGCACTCAAACAAACAATTGGCACTTACAGATAAAGCTCTTGCAGTTCTAAGAGAGTTGGTGGAGAGTCTCTCATGGAGAACTTGCCAGAAAAAGTGTTTAATTTTCTCAAGAATTAGCCATCTCAATATCTTCCTCCAAATAGGCTCGGTAGGATAATCTCTCCTCTACTGAAGAAAATGATAAGCAGACTTGACATTAAAATTCACATCAAAAGATACTCTCCAGGAAAAAAACAATCCTCTTGGTTCCCATTAGGACGTTTGACCATCATAATCATCCTAACAACCTACGTGGTAGAAATTTAAGCCATTCACTATAATTCCAATCCCCATTGCTTTGAATAAACTAATCCACAAAAGCTTTAGGGTCTGGAAGATGATGATTTTTATCCACATGTTGGATTAGAGGCTTATTAAGAGGGATCCATAGATCCCACTATGCTCTACTACTCTGAGCATTGTACACTTTCCTATCCATCACAAATATGAAATTTTCCCAAACAAAAACAATGCTCTTCCAAACAACAAAAGAATTCCTTTTTTCCACGACAAATGGGTAAATTCCGTTACCACATTTGTACTTAACTTTTAAAATTATAACCCAAAGAGCATCACTAAACCTCAACATGGTTTCATAATAAAAGCCAAGTTCTGTCGGTATAGGTCTTTAAACCTCTTCCACTTTATCCTTCTTGAGAGTATTCAAGCTAATGAGGTTTATCATTCTACCTCTTTACATGGATTCCAATAGAAATCCCACTAATTTTTTCAATATCATTTAGAATTCCCTTAAGTAAGATAGTAGATTGCATTAAAAAACTAGGAATCATAGAAATAATAGATTTAATCAACACAACTCTACCAGTAAGAGAAAGGAACCTGCCCTTCCAGGATGAAAGTTTGCCGCAAACCTTCTACAAGATGGGGTGATAATACTATTAGAAGCTCTTTGGTGAAGGAGGGGAACACCAAGATATTTTCCCAGATTCATAGTGACCCTAATGCATAAGCCATCACTAAATTCCTTAGCATGATTGAAGTTAATAAGAGAGGCATAAAACACAATAAACTTATTAAAAATGTGATCAAGACCAATGTCCAACAAAGTTCTCCCAATCATGCTTCAGTCAAGTCTATCATATGCTTTTTTGGTAATGTCACCCTAATTACTCCGATCAAATAACCAAAATAGGCTTAGTAAATGTGGTGTTAAATTGAATAACCAAACTCAAGTTTGCAACTAGCAATTATAAATATGGGATCCTGAGTTTTAAACTTCAACTCTTTAAAACCAAGTAAACTAGTTTAAATCAAAGTATAAATATAACGGAAGCATGGGATACCATACATTACTTTAAACATTGGAAAATAGGTTGGAAAAACATAAGAATGACACAACCAGAGGAATTTCTTGTGACATACTCTCTTTGTACCATGCACCGCGGCATATTGCACAGCTTGTGATAGCATTTTGTTGTTATTTGACAGCTCTAGAGCTGAACTTTTAGTGTGGTCCATTTCTCTGTTCAATGTCCATTCGAGGCGATTTAGGTATCCCCAGGAATCTCTTTTCCTACACTAGCTAATGACACTAATTTTACTCTTAAAATTATTTTATACAAGAAAGTTAGTGATGGGATTTGGGATAATAGTTAATTAAGATAATTAAGATTTATTTAAGATATTAAGATTATTCATTAGAGATATTTGATAAAGGATTTTATTCATTAGAATCAAGATTTATTATTTATTTTATTGTTATTTTAGATATTAGTATTTTTAATATTAAATTAGATTTAGGATTTGGGATTTGAATTTAATTTTTTATTATTTTATTATTTTTAGAACTCTATAAATAGAGTTGGATTTTTCGTTTATAGGCAACTTTTGAGAATTATTAAATAAGAGTTTTTGAGAGTTTCAGCCTTCTTCCTCCTTCTTTTTCCCTCCTCCTTCTCTTGTCTCTCTCTTTCCCTCTCACTTTTTTGTTTTACATCAGTTAGACACCTAAATGCATTTAAAACAATTTTCACACCAATTCACAACCAAGAATGTCCCAACACATAACCCAAGTACCAAAAACTCATATTGACACCTATACCATACTCAATAAACTCACGACAACCACTGTAATACACCACGGCCAACCAAAAACACAAAATTCACAATTTCAACCTTCAACACATTGACTTTAAAAACAACATGAGGAGGTAAATATCATTAAATTTTATCATAATTCATTTACAATCCTCCAAACAATATATTCATATTTGCACCAATATTTTAGCCTTGATAGATATTTCAATCACAGCTCACACAACCTAGGGTCTAAAATACAATCTTTCAACTCATCATGCAATTAGTGCAAGTATATGCATAAATCAAAATATCAATTTTTAGTTGGCAATATCAAGTCTCAATTACACATATTCAAAATAAAAGCTAGAGGCCTACTATAAGAACATGAAGTCTTATGCCTCTAGTACTTTCCCTCTTTCCTGCTTTGAGTTAGTGTCTGTAAAATGGTAAGAAGAGGGACGAGTACAATTACTCAATAACTAGGATAATTGATCAGCCTCACAAGTGTACGAGATTGACGTAGTGATAAATTAGAGTATTTTGGATTAACCTAGAGGAAGATAGTGAATTTTGTTATTTCAAAAAAATAAATAAGGATTTTTTTTGAAAAATATTTAATAATTTAATAAAGCAACCAAATGAAAAAATTAATAAAAGCCATGAGAATGATGAACCAATCAATTAGACAAGAACTAGGGATCAAGATTTTCCTACCAAGATAGGTTATACTAATTTAGTTAACTATCTTCCCTTCTTTTATAGTGACAATTGTTTCTAAGGTGTTCTAATTACCTTTCAATATATTAAGATATATTTAATTAAAGTTAAATTTAGCTCTCACTAAATTATACTATCTAACTAAACCATCAAGCTATGATCTAAGCTATCACAAACTCCTAAATTTTCTAATTTAGTTATTTGCATCTAAATAGGTCTCGGTAAGTTTTTTATCTTTCAATTCATCAAACTACCCATAAACAATCTATATACTAGCCGTATATATAAAAAGTGATTAAAATGAGAGATAAATATAAAAAAACATAAATTTATAGATAAAACTCAATTTTCAATGAGAAAAATAATCAAAACTAAATAAAGAATAAAATCTATCCTAGCTAAACAACTCCCTACTTTAACTAGGAGTTTAGCAAGAACTCATAGAGTCAAAATTACAATCCCACATAAAAGACATAAAATGAATCTAAAGAAGAAGAAAGGAGAGAAAGCTCCCATCTCAAAAGACTCCTCCAACTCTATAATATGCCTCCTAGCCTCTAGATGTAAGATTGAATATGTTGAGAGGCTTTTAAAAGGCTTATTTATAATAAATTTGACTCCCGTAAGCCTAGAATCTGTCTAGATCACATCTTATCTCTTTAGATATGATGATATATTATTTAAATTACATTTCAGGGCCTATTTTCCTTTCATTTGTGCATGGTCGATGAGGCAAGGTGTCCCTTTCCTATTTTGTATTTGTTTGTGCTTAGATGACGCAGACATAATTGAGAATGAGAGTTCTACTTTAGTTCTTGCACATTTTCCCTTAGTTAAGTTTTCAGGTAGTTCATCCGCCCCTAGTCGAATATTTTTAGCCCAGTAATTGGTCTTTGACTTCGAGTGTCGCATTTTAAGGCCTTTTTCATGTTATTTTATCTCATTTTCTAAAAATATACCAAAATCTTTATATGAGATATTTTATCTTCAATTCACACATTAAATAGTCAATATAAGAGTAGAAATAATATATAAATATGCATAAATGGTCTCTTATCAATAGTTTAATTAGCACAAAGGATGTCAATCAATCATAAAAAAATGTTAAGTGGAATACATTAGCAATATAGTCCATGCAAAACCAAAACTCAACCCATTCACAGTATGAGATATTGTTAGATTAGGAGGCACAACAGAAAATTAAAATTTAAATCCCAATCACAATCACAGATCGAATAAATTCGTTTAAGTCAAAGTGAATAAAAGAAATACTTTTCC